ATTTGCTATATTTTCTGCACCTAGTAAACATTCCCATTGGTTATTTGGCTGTATTCAAAAGGCTAAGATTATTATTGCTCTCCTAGCAAAAGCAACCTTTCTTCATAGTGGAGCAGTACAAAGAAAGAGCACAAAAAGTACCCACATCACAGTGCCTGAAATTCTGTTTGAACAACTGTATTGATTGGGTCTGACCCCTTTACATTTTTTTTTCTATTATTTGAAAAGGTGCATCTAAGTGTAGCTGAATTGAACCAACTACGATGAACTTTCCATGAAAACTTCTCGAGATATTTCTTTAGTTCAAAGCTTTGGAATTTTAAAGAGCATTTTTAATACAAGTCGGTTGAGGTATTCTGTGCAACAGCCACACTTTGAATGTTAAACTACAGGTAAACCTAAGAGGAAGGTAAAATCATAAAGCCTGCCATGAAATTGCTGGGAGATGGCAGAATAACTTTTGAGTGCTAATTAGCAAGTAAATAAAACCAAAAAGTATTGCATATGTGCACATTTGGGCACTGTTCAGTTGTCATTTACTCATCAGTGCTCCTGGTTGCCTTATAGAGAATGTGTAACAGCCTCCAAAGAAAACACCAACAGAATTAGCATTTTTGGAGCAGTTATTGATGAAATTGTATTACAAGATGGAAGCTTGAAGGACAATGAAGCTTTCTTGTTGCCCACTAGAAGAAGCTTTTTACCAGAATCTGTAGCATAAGGAAGCACTAAAGGAAGATATTAAGAAAACAAAGGTGAGTAGTGAGTCTGTACAAAATAACGTCCGAGATGTATCTGCAAACAAGACGTAAATAAGAGGCTAAAGGTGAGGATGGAGAACAGCCTGGTGGTTTGAAATGAGAGGTAGGAAAAAGATTGAAGGAGCTGGAATATGTGGAATTAGACAGAAGAAATGTACATTGTAATGGGGAAAGTAAGAAGAATAGCTGGCAAATGAGAAGGTAGGTCTAGTGTCCTAATATCAAAAATACCTTGTGACTGGGATAAACAAGAGAGTAGGGTGAAGGAGAGAGTCACCAATGACCTCAGGGTACTGTTTTGGTAACAGGACAGTTATCTTTTCTATTGCAGCTGCTGTGCTCTGTTCTTTAAGCCCACTGCAGCTAAGAATGGCTGGTGTGAGTGAAACACTCCTTTCCCTGTAGAAACAGCGTGCCCCAGAGCCAGGGGTGGAAAAGGCTGGTCTCCCCTGGCACTGTGCTTCTCTCTCAGCAGTGGTGATGTGCCAGTGCAGGACAGAGTGCTGTGTGCCCTGCTGTAGACTCTGGCCCCAGTTCTGTTTCGTCATCGGGGGTTGAGCTGGCTTGACTTTTATCTCTACAGCCAGAATTGGGAAAACCTTAACATTGTTTTCTGGTTCATCCCCTGAGACATGGAAAGTTTTTTGACACCCTGGCTTGTGGCTTACACAACATGTAACCCTAATGAAATGCAGTAGCTGGAGACCTTTGTTATACTGAGTTGTATCACTCTGGGGGACAAAGTCGACATTAGTGATGTCACTGCTAATCCTGTATGTCCCTTGTGTTGTCTGTATTGTTGGCTTTCCTGACTGCTGAACAGTTGTTCTGTGTTTCTGCCCTGTTTCTTCTTTGTTATACCTCTGAGCGCCTTTTATGGAACAGGGTTTTGTTTTCTGCCCAACATGGTTATAGTGTGCCTGTGTGTCTGTTGGAGGTTGGGAATTGCCATACACACACCTCTTGATCCAGTTCTTCCTCTATTTGGTGCTAAGGCAAAGACCTGGCAAAAGCTGAGGCACCACTGCTGAGATGAGTACCAGCACTGGCTGCTCTGCTCCTTTTCTAAGTCCTAACCTGGATGAGAGGCTCAGAGGGAAGAGAGAGCAGCATCTCCTGAGTGTTGCTGTGTCCTCTGGCATTTTCAAAGCCTTCTTGTATGCCTAAGGACTCTTCAGTTGTCTTCGCTAAACCCAGTTTACAAGTTACTTGGCAAATGGTTTTATATACAGACTTCATTCAGTATCTGGGTAGTGGCTCCATCAGTTGACTACTGAGGAAATTTCTAAATTATTTTTGGTGTGCAGTATTGATTTATTATGCTAAGATGTCTTTTTCACAAAAAGATATTTTTGAGAGATTTTTTGCAACTGCATCTTTACAAACATGACACAGTTACTAGATTTTACTGGCTGTAATGGAAAGGAGGCTTGACTCAAACCAGTTAAGGATATAAAGCTTCACTTGCTTTTTTTTTTTAAAGCTTTAGCAATAAATATGAGGTGGGAAAGTTTCAGTTCAGTTTATCAAACCTTTTTGCAGTCATTAATGTAGCTTGATATACTTACAATCAGAACACTTACTTATGGTAATGGTTTGAGTAAGGAAGTTGTTTTTTTAATGAGTCCCTGTACTGCTTGACTGATGATACAACCTTGTTCTCCTGATGTATGTTGCTTTTCAGTCATCTCTTCTTTTTTTCCCCTCAAGTAGATCCTCCTATGGCCACCACAAATGGTACTGGGTTTGGATAGATAATAGCACAGTCAGTATGGTCTCATTCTGCACCTGCGCATCATAACTAACTCAAATTGGTTTAAATCACCAAGTATTTTGTTTCTTTAATGCTGCGCAAAAACGGAGGAAACTTTTATCTCCCATCATGATGCTGTACACCTGTGTACTGAGATATTTTCCTCAGGAAAAGTGCAGTTGAGGTGGCAGGCTTGAAAGCAAACAATCCCAACTTCTGCTTTGTCCCTTCAGTGAGGGTACATGACACATGTCCCTTCTCTTAATCCCCTGACAGCTTCCAAGAGACTGATGCAAAGAACCGTGCCAGGCTTTGATTATGAGATATTGCACTGCCACTTATTCTCTTTGTCTCCTGCAGTTTACAGAGGCAGCTTCAGTGCATAATTTAATCCCTGTACTGGGGACTGCAGCAAATCCACGGAGATTTCTACCACCCGTCCTCTCTGGCATCAGAACAACATGTGCACATCGTCTTTGATGTGAATTCCCCAACCAGAGCCTTAGAAGGACCTATAGCTTTGAAGCTGGCCTATAAATTGTGCTTTCAGGAATCAAGTTGTCAGCCTTCTCTTCAGGAAGAAAGGGAGAGTAAAGTGTAAAGCAGTTGCAGGAAGCTACAGGGCAACTTACAGATCTGGTTTTCTTGGCCTCGGAGAATTCCTGTAGGACGTTGAGAATCCCTTTTTACCTGGCTTAGAAGCACCCTCTTCTGTGACTGCAGGACCTTGTGGGCAGTGGGGCTGTGATGGAGCTCATCTTGAGGGGTTCCCTTCACCAGGGCAAATGGAACAGGCACACCAGTGCTTTTGACCTGGTTGGGTGTTTTCAGTCTTCCAAAGCCAAATGCTGATAATGCATCTGCATTGCCCTTTGTGGAGGTAAATTTTTAATGTGGTTTAGAAACAGATGAAAACCTTTCTTGCTATGGATAAAGAAGCTTCTTAGGCTGCTTCATAGTTGACTCTGCAAGTTCATAATATGTTTATAAATGTTAGACAGAAACAGACATGATTGTGTAGAACCCTTCCTATTTTGAACAGATGAGTCTTAGGTCAGCATCATAGATGCATTATCCCAAATCAGATGTTCACAGTATTATACTTTTGGGGAATGGAAGTTGACTTTTTTTTCTGGTCAGAGCTGTAACTAGAATAGTTTCATTTCAGTTAATTGTTTTATCATTTTGTGGTCTATTTATTTACAACTGAAACTGACAGCCAAATCTGGTTTACAAGGCAGGAGGCTGAGTGGCAGAGCCCTGTTGTGTCTGTCTGCAGAGACCCATGCAGGGCCAGACAGCTGGATCTGCTTTTCCTGGGTCTTTTCGCATCGATTGCACTGTGGAGAAAAGCCTTGAGGTGAGGTTTTCACCCTGCCCTGCCTCCGAGGCTAACTGGAATGCAGCAGGCCCCACTGCCTGGCAGGGTGTGTCTGCAGCAATGGATTCCATCACCTTCCAAACAGGAGTCCCTGCTTGGCTGCACACTGCTGGGAAAAGCTGGAGAGCTACGTGGGCTGAGAGCAGCAATAGTGGGACAGACAAGGCAGAGAGGGAAGTGTATACACAGCACTTAGCAGCCTTTGTAATTGCACTTAAGGCAGTCAATAGCAGCCCCAGCTGAAAGAATTTAACAGTGAAATGCTGTTTCAAGTATAGCTCAAGTGTCTAAATAGGAAAAACCTGGCACAGGCCTATTAGGCAAGTAATCAGTTGATCTTTTGGGGAGGACCTCACTGTTTCCTAGATATAGGGCAGCTTTCCTAAGTCATGGTGAAGTCTTCTCTTTTCACAATGCACAAGAAACTGAAAGTTTTCTGTATGTATTAGAAACTTGCAGTACTGGGAAAGCAAAAAAAATCCACACAAATCACTGTCCTGCTGTAAAATTGTTCTTAAAACTGACTAACTGGAAAATTTTGTATTAAATGCAAACATAGTAAAACAGATTAATCAAAATCTACACTCAGGTTTTATTTACAATATTACTTTTATTTTTTTCCATAATGTAACTTATTCCAAGTCCTCCCCCAATGACTGATGCTGCAATGTTTACATTCAATAAACCTACACAATGATAGTACACACTGCTGCTTTCCTGTCAGTTGACTTGCTTGCAAGTGTTGTCTGCATGTCAGGAACTGTACACAGAAGAGTCTCCACGAGCATCTGGAGTGTTTCTTGAAACACTGCTGTGGCAGAACAAGGCTGTACTAGAGGTACAGATCAGATGTCCTGTTCTCCCAGCAAGGAGAGGCAGTTGATCTGTCTGATGTACTAAGAGGAAACAAAGACTAAAAAGCTCTGATATTTTATTCATTACTTGAATGCAATGAATTTGTAGAGGAATGGTTGTGTTTCATTCTTGCTGGAAGGAGTTACTGGGACTCCTGGCTCTCTAAGCATATCGACTTGAGAGGTACAACCTTGTGACTCAAGAGCTCCAAGGGATGTGTGTACGGGGAGAAAAGGGAGAAGGGTTCATGTACTTAACTCTGTACTCTATACTTTAAAAAAGCTAAATGATCTGTATATCCTTTTCATTATCAAAGTATACTCTCTCTTTCAAAGTAAACTGGTTTCCTCAGGAGGAGTTATTTTTAATAACAGCTCAGTACTATAACCAGGAGCTAGTAATGCAAAAATCACTATTTTCTACTGAAAGGTAGAAAGAACTACAGCTTATGCCCCTCATTAGAAAGCCAAAGAAGCAATTAGAACCTCCTGTTGTATTATGCATTTCTAAAACACCTCCATGCAACTGCTGTAGGACTTCAGATGGATACAGTGATTAATACTGTCACAAAAGTGAGCAATTTCTCCTCTCAGCCCTGTCAACACTAGCATCTATAGACAAAATCATTGTTTAAAGCTCTAGTACATCACAGAATAGTGCTGATATTGGTATTTTACATCTAATGCAACATCACGTAATTCACATGTAATCTTAATAGTTAAAAATTCAAAACTGGGGCACTAACTAAATAAACCACTAACATGAAGCTTCCTTATCTGGCATGGAATAAAAGGAGAGGGATAGTTTAGATAACATTGTAAAGATTGGGCAGGAACAAAGCAAATTTATTTCTCCATCCAGGATTTTATACACTTTACAAAACCCAGTAATATCACTGTGCCCATAAAAATGTTATCCATGGCAACAGAAAGCAAATACTACTTTTTGTCATCTAAAGGGGTCTTTTTAAAATCATAATACAAAGATTTGTGCTGTAGCAGTCCTCCACTTTGCACTGTAACAATAAGGCTTGCTGTACTTTAAATACAAAGCTGTTACATCTGCAGTTATGAACCACTGGCTTTCACAAACATCATTTTATAGTTGCTTTTTGCTTCTTTTTTGTTTTCTGGAACCTCAGCTTCATCATGTTTTTCAGCAGCTTGTAGCTCCTCTGCAGACTCCTCTTGCTCCGAGTCAGAGCCACTGTCAGAGTCGTCTGAACTCTCGTCAGAGGAGTGTCCTGCTGCCTCTTCTTGTTCTTCATCTTCCTGAAACTACAAGTTCAGATTATGAGACAGATAAACCACTATTTCCTGGCAACTCCTTTGCAGCCTTTAAAATTTCCCAGTGAGAATGTTTTGCTTAATGGCTCCTCATTGTGGCACTACAATGGGTAGTGTTACCGAACTCAGGTCTTTAACACACAAATTCTTAAGCAGAAAGCAACTCCCCTGAAGTGGTTAGCCGTGCCAGCCATGGTTTCATCAAGCTACTGGCTTATTTAGTTACAGCAGAAATCCTAAAGACACCATTCAACGAGTCTGAAAAGTTTCCCATCACATCTGTTGAATAACTTCATACTTTAGTGTACACAGTACATGACACTGGAATAGCTGCCATGGAGTGAAACACAATGGAACTAATGGCTAGAACATCAAGAATTCACATTCATCTTTGAAAGCAAGTTTAGCAAACTGCAGCATGAGGAATGCTGAAGTAATCCAATGATACTACTAACCAGAACAATGCAAAACAGCACTTAGTTCATGCTTCTAAAAAGCAAAGCCTCCTTGGCAGTAATGCCAAAAATCTGTCAGCACTGCACAGTTTACTTTCTCTGTTCCTAATAGCCTGAGTCTCTTCGGTGTTGTCACACTACCCTTCCAGCTCGTTCCTATGGAATTCCTTGCAAGTACAAGACCAGGAAGGTGTCAGCTCACTAGAGGACTCTGTACATCAAGTGTGACCCCTCTACAGCCATGTACTTTTCAGGACCACAGAGAGGTCCCTGCAACAAGAAGCTAGGACTGATTAGCTCTCAGCAACAATGCAGATGGTTATCTCACCTTCTTATGTATTCCTTGGCAACATCCTGACTTAATATACTTGCCAATTTCTGCCCTAATCAGTCTTGACTACTGTAGAGTATTAAGATGTCATACCACTTCTCAGAACAAGAAGCATCAGTCATTTCTGGACACCTAAATGGCCACCACAGTGTACATAAACAGGAGTCAAGTGCCTGCAGCAAGTGTCCTTTAACCTGGACCATGTAAGTTTGCCACTATTTGTGGTGATTGAATTTTTAAACCAAGTATCATCTTGTCTGAGTGAAGTAAAAGCCAAATCATTGCAGAAATAAACTGTACCTCACTGAAACCAAGTCCACAGTGGCGCCGGTTCCGTCCAGACATGGTGCTGTCCATGCTTTGCTGGTACTGGGACTCCAGTTCTTCATTCATCTTCTTGTCTTCTTCCCCTGCATTGTCCAGGGTACTTTGGTTATGGTTCATTCAAATTAACAAAGACATCAAATTACATGAAGTCATATTTTCAAAGTCGAAAAGTTTAATCATCTTAAACTACTGGATTGAGTATTACTGCATACAAACCATCAGATTTATAAGCAATTGTATCAAGTGTGCACACAGAACTGCTCTGATACAAAGATGGGCTGGTAAGTCTCTAAGGCCTGATGCATTCAGACAGTTGTACTATGCACAGTGTTATGTTCTGCTAAACAAGGTAAGTGTAATCAGTATGAATTCTCTGTGCTTCCTGCCAATACTGCAACATGTCACAGCAAGGAGAAAGTTTCTGACCTTCACTACTTAACACAGGATTACTGTGATTAAATCATCATTCACAAATAGCATCAGAAGCCAGGACAATACTACCACTCTTGCTCACAGAGCTCTACCTGGAACTGTTCCATGCATCCAGAATTCCCAGGGGTGGTTAATACAACAGCTCTGCATTTTTCCATCTTTAGGAATTAGCAGAAAAACAGATGCTCATGAGCTACTTCTCCAGGCCCTTTACTTACTTGTTTCAATAAGTACATAAATAATCATTTTTACTGGGGAAAAACATGGTCTGAAATAGTTAGGAATCCTCTGTTCTTGTAGAAGGAAATCTCTCATTCTCCCCAACAGGCCTACGACACTGTAGTTTTGAATTTGTATCTCTGTGAAGCTGAAAGGTTGTATTGCAAATTCGTGTTTCATCACCTGGAATTTAGAGCTGTATGTTATTGTAAAAGGACAATAACTGTATGTTGGACAAAGAAGTGTTAAGAAAACAGCTGGAGGTTTTTTTGTGTGTGAAAAAACAACATTTTAACTTTTTGCTAATAACAAACCAGTACCGATTCTTATGGCTCCTCAGGAGAGGCATCATCTCCTTTCTAGGAGATTCAGGTATGAGGAAGTGATTCTCAGTCATTCTGCAAACTAACATCAGAACCTGGTACCAATCCTTAGGCTTCTCTTGGTCCAGAGACAATTTTTCATCAGCTGAAAAATGATCAGTGGAGCCTATGAGGGAAAGTTATCCAGAACAGTGACAGCTGCTACTCTATATGGCTATAGCAAAGCTGCTCTCAGGCAGTGCAGACCAGCCCAGCCTGCTGCAATGTACTTTGACTTCCTACCTAAGCAATCACAATAAGCAGTTATACAATGGTCATACATGACAGCCAATTAATTGCTGATTGCCAAGATGACCTTGCAGATCTTTTCAGCTTCCCCCTCATTGCTTTAGGGCAGAGATCTTTCTATTCAATAGGTAACCAGGTGGGGCAAAAATCAACCCTGCTCTTTTCCATGCACAATTTAGAGGTCTGGATGGCCGTACCTGGCAGCGAGGAAGTGCACTACTGTTAAGTGCCAACAGCAATAAGACTTACTTTGATAGCAAAATGAGACTGAGGACCCACAGGCCCCAATTTCCAGGGATCCTGTACACAAGTGTCCCTGCATCTGGTGCTTTGCTTAACCTGGACTTTAGAAGGCAAGTAAGTGCAGAGAAACTTTGTCAGTTTTTAGTAACTTCGACAACTCCACAGCCTGACCCGTCTTCAGATGCAGCCACGAAACCTGAAATCCCTTCCTGCAGTATCTACCAGGCTCAAAGTACTGGGATGTTCCTAAATAAGGGTTAGATTTCCAACTTTGTATCAGCTGTTGGATAAACTGACCTGTCCTGAAGTGAGATGTTGATCTGTGGTCTCCGATAACAAGGCGGCCAGTATGTTCTTTCTAAAAGAAAAGGCAGTTTGTTTTGGAGCTTTAGGGTGCACTGACAGCTCTGCCAACATCCTGGACATCTTGAATGGAAAAGGTCTGCTGTCAAACCCTGATAACAAACTGTAGGACTCTTAAGTTTTACTAGCTAACAGCAGCTGCCTCTTGGTGAACTTGTTTCATATATTTGTTCTGTTGAATTTTCTGAAAAAGAAACCCCAACAACTAAATACTCTTTTGCCCTTCCCAGACCCCCAAACTGGTTCTACTTCATTCTGCTTCTTGCCACTGATATGAAAACTGTACTACACAATGCTGGACAAATGTGGATTGAGGTTCTGACAGTTCACACTCTCTCTGGCACACTGCAAATCGTTCAGGCTGCGCATCTTATGACGATCCCACTTTTAGACTGGTCACAGTATCAGGTAAGCCCTTCACAGTGCTCATTAATTTACTGGCTCAGTAGCTGCTCATTAGCAAACGTGTCCCAATAGGCAAGAACTGGCATTGCATAGCAAACAGCATTAAGTATCCAAGCAGCTATTAAGATTAGTGGCAGTGGGATGCTTTAATAGGGTGTTGTATCACTATCCACCAGGAAGTATTAACTTTCATGTCTAATACAGTAAAACCATTTAGCCTACAAATACATTGCATTCAAGCAAAACAGGCTAGTGCAAGTGATAGTATTTTTTAAGGGCAAGTAAAACCACAATACTAAACCAACATTTTATACACACACGAAGCATTATTACCTTTTACCTTTTTTGCAGCATGCATAATTGAAAAACAGTTCCAGAGCATTTTCTCTTTAGAAACATTTCCTGGGTTAATTAATTAGGTTTATTACTTCACTGGTTTAGCCTCTCAGCTACCATTTTTTTTTGGGGGGGGGGAAGTTTTTTTCCAATAAAAGAGA